GGCTTATGCTTCTTCGGTTCATAATAACCTACTCTCTCTTTGGCAGACATTTTTATATTCTCTCTAATAGTTTCCCAAGCTTTATTAACATCCACCTCAGTGTCCAAGTTTTCCAAAGCCGCGAACCTATTTGAGATATCAACATGATACTGCTCTTTATCCTCTACCTCATTTAATTTCTTGAGATTGAACCCCTCCATATGAACTTTGTGTGTTGTTTGTTTGCTCACTGCCAGTCTTTCCTTAACCTTTGTCACCATCAGGTAGTGGGCAGTATCACAGTCTGGTGCCCTGAATGATCAGACATCAAGTATACTCAAATGCCGTCTCCTATCTATCCAAATATGGTCTATTTGACTGTGTATCTTCCCATCAGGAGATGTCCAAGTAAATTTATGGATGTTACAATGTGGGAACACTGTACTTTTGACAGTAAGATTTTTTGATGTGGCAAAGTTTACTAATCTAACTCCATTATCATTACTAATTTCATGCAAACTCTCATTCCCAATAGTTGGTTTGAAAATGTCTTCCTTCCCTACTTTGGCACTGAAATCTCCTAGCAAAATTTTCATAGGGTACTTCGGGAATTTATCAAATACAGGTTCTAGTTCTTCACAGAATCTATACTTTATGTCATCAATTTTATCTTTTGTTGGGACATGAACATTCATAACAATGATATCACACCAGCGACCTTTTAGTATTATGTATGATATCCTATCACTAATGAACTCTACCTTCTTAACTGCTGATATGATTCTCTTATGTACAAAAAACCTGTACCTAATTCATGATTTTCATTCCCCTTTCCATAGAAAGCCTACTATCCTTATTTTGAAAGAAATGAAAAGCGTGGGAGATCACCTTGCTGTCTGTGTCCCCCACCCTAACGTTGCTAGGCAACAACTCAGTAAACACATTCCCACAGCAAAGAATGCACACACGTAACAGAAGAAATGCTGCATATGGCATTTTCTATGCAGTCTGTGTTGTAACAAATAATATATAGTAAAAGGAAAGTAGATTAGTTCTTCTCAGATATACTTCTATATTACACTGACAGAGAAACAGGGTGGGTGATACTGACCTTTGGCTATTATAGGCCTACATATATATATATATATATATATATATATATATATATATGTATGTATGTATGATTCAGACCATTTTCCTTCAAAATCTTCACACTTAACATAATCAACTACTGGCATGACCTCACATGTAGCTGACACATGTTTTGAAAAGTTAAAGCTATCCTTGTAACAGGCAGTCGATGCCCACATTGGTGTGAAACGTTCAGGTATCCACATTTTATAAACAACTGGCTCACAGAAGCTGGGAGGCTGCTAGCCTTATGCACCAGCCACCATTTACCCCCAGGAAGATTCCTGGTACTCATTTCTGTTGGAGGCTGAGTTAACCCCAGAGCCATATTGCAGCTGGAAGGATTAGGTCAACTGAAAAATTGAATGACCTCTTCAGGAATCTAACCCACAACCTTACAGTTTGTTGCATAGTGCCTCAACCAACTACGCTACCGCGTACCCCACAGAAAGTGGTACTAGTATCATTTTTCAACATTTATACATAGTTAATTTGGGTTAACCTAAATTAATACATGTAAACAATTTACAAGAAACTTGTTAAATTAAGTTGCCTCATCAGTACAAGTGAAGTGACTTCAAGGTAAAATGCTTCACAAAACCCAATCCCACTGCATTCCCAACTTCTTATCTGCAGATGTTTTAAACAACAGTTACATGCATGTAACATACAAGAAGAAAAGTAAATACCGCATTTTTAGAAATACAAAGTCAAAGGAAATATGGAAAGGGGACTTTATTAGCTCTGAAATGTGCATAAAATTAGTAAGATGTTTCTATTAGGGCAGAAGTCATGCAAGACAGTCTGCAGCCGTAGTGCAAGTTTTTTGGTAACTTTGGATGTTCGGTCTGAAAAGTCTAGTGGCCATAAAGTAGTAAAATTTTGCAGGAATACTTTCTTCCACTGAGGCTATAATTTCACAGAATATCATTCAATTCTGAGGGTGTCAGGCTGTGACCTGTGTTCAATTTTATCTTGTACAGAGAGAGAGAGAGAGCGAGACCTCCAGTACACTTCAATCATTCCACATTTCATAAAAATCTGTTAATTCGGTAACTGTTCTAGGGGACTAAAACACACAAAAACATAATGATAATATGAGCCTCTCTCTCCTTACAGACTAAGAAAAGTAGGAAAAAATGCTTCCAAATATTAGAGAATGGATGGGCAAACTCCGATAGCAAGAAGCCAGATAAGGGGTTGCAGATATTTTGCTGGGTCGCATTTGAGGAACAATGGCTGAACAAAAACTATGGTATGAATGATTGCTACTGCAAAATCAGGTCATACATTTCCTAAAAAAATATGCTAGAACACTGCTTCAGAAATAAAAAATAAAATAGATATATGTATATATAATTTTATATGTAAATTTTTACAAGGCTCTCAGTCAGATAGAAATCTCTCAAGAGCTGGATCTGGCCCATGGACCACACTTTACCCATCCCTGCACTAAAATAGTGTGAATATGGGTGTCTAACTGTTTCCATACATGGAGGATCTTGGAAACCTTAATGTATTGCGCCTACAGAAACTTAAATGGGTAAGTAAACTTACTCTGGGCAAGCACATGTTGTTAAATGTTGCATGTAGCAGTCTGTCCTTGTGTGAGCCTCCTTTGTTTGCATGATTCTATGAGCTTCAGTAATCTTAAAAGTTTAGTTAATGTGCAACTGAAATCCACTTTAGCAAATTTATGGAATAGCTCCATTCAAGTCTGGTTTGGTTCAAGGGATGATTCAAGTACTATCTGGTTCACTGAAGTGAAGGATTATACATAATGATGAATCCACAGGGAATAAGCCGTAAGGACTGAAGGTGGCAAGGGTTCATGGTCTAGTCAAACAATACATTTTGATATTATCAGCACTGTTCAGAAGAACTTGGTGCCCCTGTCCTTTACTATAAAGATGGAAGCAGCAGACAACTCCATAATACTGGTACCTATCTACCAGACCACACGCTATCACATCCCAGACACCATAATCTTAATACACGCCATTGTGAGAATCTCAAATATTAAACACACATACTTGCCTAACTACATGAGACAGAGTCCTCTTTCAGAAGCTAAGAGCTGCTCAGCTGGTCAAGAAACTGCTCAACTACCATGGAACCTGACTGTCCCTGCCTGCCAATGGACTGAAATTAATCTAGTTCACACCCACATTCCTTTCCTTTAAGATCCATCTTAATATTAGCATCTCATTTACACACATATCTCCCAACCAGTCCCTTTCCTCAAGTTTTCAGACTAAAATTATGTATGTATTTCTCACAACCCCAATGCAAGCCACATGTACAACTCATCTTCCATGATTTTGTTATTCTAACAGATAGCTAGCTGGTATGGGTTGCATAGAGAAGCACTGATGCCAACAGGTGCTCCTTATTAAGTTGTGAGATATGTCCTCTTGCAAAGCAGGCTCTGGAAGTAAATTTCAACTCTCCAGCTCCAAGAGCTGGTGCATTTCATGGTGAGAGCATGGAGTGTCGCAGATGGGCATAAGGCAAAGGGTGAGTGTCAGGGACCCTAAGACAGGACTACATGCCCAAGGGAATCAACCCTGACAGAAAATGTGTGGCAGGTGGGTTGAGCTTGAGGCTGATATCCTCATCCCACAAAAATTTTTAAAGACAAAAATCTAAATAAGACAACAGCCGGACGCCCCACTGGATGATGACCTAATCCTTCGAGGGTGCTGGACAGGACAGAACGGAAAAATGTTTTGGAAGTGTCCATGGCCCAAACTAGGCTGTAGAGCCATTAGTGGTAGTAACAGAGAGCTATATGTCAGTTGTTTAACAAATGTATGAACTTCAGCTACAAAAAATGTAAGAACAAACACACAGTTAAGACAGTAACAGATTAAGGGGACCACTGAACATCTCTATCTCATCAACAAATTCTATTTATGGACACAACACAGAATGCACACTGAGATTAAAACTATCCATCAATTTCAACGGCTTTCAATCCTACTGATACATTTACATAACTGCATAGAAACACTATCAGAATATTGAAATAAAAATTATTTAGTATCCATGGTTTCTCCTAAAGCTAATAAATGAACAGTGAATGCTTCATATTCAGGTGTGTAAAGGAAGATCTACATTACCATGAGAATTTCTCACCACTGCCACCAATCAGGGACACTTAATTGAAATAAAGATATCTGACTTGTACTGACCATTGGATGACTTGAGATCTCGATGGATGAGTGAAATGGGTGCTCCATTATGCAAGTAGTTCATACCCCTGGCGATCTGAATGGCCCAGTCAACTAGCACATCTGGTCGAATCTTGCGTCCTGCCAACACGCGGTTCAAGGAACCTCCACGGGCATATTCCATCACCAGGCACAGATTGGGCATCTGGAGGCAAACACCCTCCAGAGACACAATATTGTCATGCTTAAGTAACCAAAAAAGCTTCGCCTCTTGACGCACATTCTCCAGAGTCACATTTATGTCTTCATCAGGGTCCTGGCGTGCTGCCTTCACGGCCACTTCCTGATTCCGCCAAAACCCACGGTATACTTTCCCAAAACCCCCCACCCCAATCACTTCTTCCAGGTCTAGTTCCGAAAAATCTATCTCAACTGGTTGAATATCCCCTATCACGCTTGACACATGATCGATGACATCTTTGGCCACAAAGTTGGCTGGGAAGATGCCAACCTTATCACCAATTTTACCAGTCCACCAGCCCTCATCCCCAGAAATTTTGGAATCTTTAGACAGGACCTCGACGATTTCCCCTCTTCGTAGGCTGAGTTCATCCTCTCCTTGCGCCTCATAATCGTAAAGAGCAGTCCACAAGGAGATGATGCTACCCTTTTTGCTGTCGTTCTTCCTGCTGAACGGACTCGGCTTGTGTTTGACAGGACTGCTGCTGTTGCTCGTCTGTTGCGCGGTACTGATGGTACGGCTGCTGCTGACTTCGTCTCGGCCATTGCTGTTCCCGTAAGCCGACTTGGTGTGTTCCATGGACGTCAATAATGGAGGCATTCGTTGCTTCTGGGATGGATTCGGGATCCTCCCACTGAAATCCGACACTCTGACGACGTTATTTCTCCGACTGTCGGAAATGCAGCTACATGAATGGCCAGGTGGTTGCTATTCTGACACTTGTCCTTCTCTGGGCGCACCGAAACAATCAAACTCGAAGTTGGTCTACTTCTCATGGCCTATATTCATTCAATGTTGGTAACCACAAAGAAAACGTATGTTGCAATTGCACATTACAGTTAATTGCACTTACTCCGTACTACCATAAACTTTATTTTGCAGTATCCTTCACTAAATTTCAAACACAGAATAGAGCCCATATCAGCTACACATTAACTTCCGCCATGTTTATGGTATTTGGTCACTCTACACATTGACCAGAAGAGCGCAGCACACTATTGAACACGATGAGACCGCCATCTGTAGATGCATTGAAACATAGGAGACACGCAAAAGTACGTAGTTCTACATGATTCCGCAATGGGCAGCACACAACGGTAGCAGATGCTGACCATCACAACACGTGAAGTAATACATGAATGTTCCTCAAATGTTTCTTACTTCTCAGGTCCAAAGAAAAGCCTAATAAAAAATGTAAATTGATTGTTATTATAACATTTCTAGTATTAGTAACACCATTTAGGCTTGTAAGTTTCGGGGGTTTAAAGATCCAGGAGAGTCTGTGCCTAGTACCATAAATTAGGTCATGACCGCTTCCATCTGCAACCTGTCCCATTCATTATTCAATATTATACTGAACGCTGTATATAGTAAGTAGTGTTATCAATTGAGAGCGCTGCATTTAAACCAAGAAATAACGAGTTAATCATATACGGATTCAATTTACTCGGATATGTTGTATTAAGATATTAAAAACATGAATTCGAGAAATCGTGTACATAGCTGTCGTAATTTGTAATAGCCAGTGTCCAGATGGGTTATTCTGTTGTTTTCAGGATAAATCTGTTAGACCTGACTGTTGGGTTGGAATGTAGGGACATCGTTACACACAAATTCACATTTAACGATACCAGTTAATTCCACCTCTCATATCGAAATCAGAAAATTACAGAACTGAAAAAAAAAATACACTGACACGGAAGGTGAGCTGCTCGTTCGTGACCTGCTATAGGATTCTTTTTATCATCTGAAATAATACAACTTATTTTTATTGAACGCCATTTTGTTAAAATTTCACAGATCGTGCTACACACTTGGGAAGTAGGTCAGTTTTCGTTGGCAACGCTGAACTGAGTAACAAGACAGCCTCGTGTACAACTGGCCAGAAGGTCTTTGTTATCGACACCTTTTACTTTTCTGGTAGTTTACGTGTTTTTGTGGAAGAACAATGCCGTCAAAAGTTTTGAGTTCGTGTTGCACCACCGAGAGACTTTCAGGATATTTCAAACGTCTTCAAGCAGAGCTCCGTAAGCTCCGTAATCAAAAGTGTAACATGTCATCACGACATGTTTTCCATACAGTGTTGGTTAAATCACCAAATCTGCTGTGTTAAATATCGCACACAATCTCGAGGACTTCCTGTTATTGCCTACCATGATGTACCGAGAAGTTCTTCCATAAGAAGAGGTGTGCTGCGTTTACTTCCCTTTGCAAGCTTATCACACACATTGTCTGTTTCTCCAAAAGATACTGTCTCCTTGGTGGAACAGATCCATTAGAAGAGTGAATGTTTTTTATAAAAAGTACTTTTTGATTCCTCGTATACGACGCAATCTTGTTATCAGCTCTGCCAACTGCCAACAGCGACGAAAAAACTTCCCAATTGTGTAAACCTGTCTATGAAAACTTCATACAATTGCGTCCTACAACAACGAAGCAATACAAAATTTAATCTGTCAGATGATATAAGGCCACTTTCATGTAACTCAGCAAAAGAGGTCCGTATATGTCAACGCTAGAACATTACTTGATGTAAGAACATGAAATAACGTAATTTAACAGTTTTCGTAACTGTGATACTAGAAGTTGGCGGTACGTACACTTTTTCCAGAACCCAAGGGCAACATTAGCTTTCAAATGCTTGATCATGCACTTTGCGCTGCAAAAGAAAGCATACACGTGTATGGCAACATATGAAGTGGGTATATCCGCTAATTTTCTGAATAAGGAGGGTATAGTTGTCTTTTTTCAAAGAGACGGCTTATGCTCTACTATTTCGATTTTTTTTTTTTACTCATGAAGCTGAGCCCTTCTTGAGGAGCCGCCAATTCTGCAGCTACTCAAGAATTTCCCAGCATTTTATGGAACCCGAAGGTTCTTCACCGTGTTCACAAGAGCCCTCCACTGGTCCCTATCCTGAGCCAGATTTATCCAATCCATACCATGCCATCCTATCTCTCTAAGATCCAGTCTAATATTGTCCACCCACCTACGCCTTGTTCTTCCCTGTGGTCTCTTTCCTTCTGGCTTTCCCACCAATATCCTATACGCATTCCTCGTCTCCCCCATTCGTGTTACATGGCCTACCCACCTCATCCTCCTTGACTTGATCATTCTAATTATACTTGGAGGAGAGTACAAGTTATGAAGCTCCTCATTATGCAGTTTTCTCCAACCTCCTGTGATTTCATCTCTCTTCGGTCCAAATATTCTCCTCAACACCGTGTTCTCGAACACCTTCAGTCTATGTTCCTCCCTTATTGTCAGAGACCAAGTTTCACACCCATACAGAACCACACGCAAAATTATAGTTTTGTATATTCGAAATTTTATGTCTTTGGACAATGAAAGAAAAATGTACATGTTTATAAAGAAGCTAATTCCTCCTTTTTCATGTTATTATGTTAATTTGCAACGAAGTGTACTCAACAGCGCCTCCCGTTTTTAAATCGACATGCTGAAAAAGACAGAACTGATATGAATAGTATCTGGTGTACTGAGAGCGCAAGGCCACATTTGTTATGCGCCTTAGTACAAGCGCATGGAATGTACTATCCATTCGTGGAGACGAGAGAGTCCTCGTAAACAAATGCACGCGGTATCTCCTTCGCTCTTTGAATGAAATCATGCAGAGATCACGTGATGGGTGTACCATTGCAGGGGCGTCCAAAGTTCCGTCTTCAGTCTGAATGCAGGTTAACGTTCGTCCGAATGCAGTGAGTACACTGAGTAACTGCGCACTTTGTCCACTCCTTGCTGTCAGCTGTGGCGACGCGGGGCTTGCTTTGTTTACGCTAACTGTCTCGTCTCCGCGAATGGACTGTAGTAAGCCTTCTGCTCGAGTTCCCTTCTGTTCTAGCATAAAGCCTAAACTGAACACTCTGGGTGTCAACTATTTTCTTCCCTTTCTATCCTCAGTACGTGATTTGTCAATGAATGATGAAAGTGTAGTTCGTTCTTACAGTGACCAGTAGAGATGGGCCGTGAACTGGGATTTGCTTACTTATTTACTCGCTGCACTAGACCCTGGGGTTCACTCAGCCTCTAACAGAAATGAGTACCAGGAATTAATTAAATAATTTTCCTGGGGAGTAAAGCGCGGCGGGCGCGTAAGGCTGACAACTTTACCGCCATCTGTGAGCCGATTGCCTAAATAATGTGGGAGCCTGTGGACATCAGGCGAAGTTCTTGAACGTCATTTCAAAACTTCATATGAAGATCCTAATTTGAGATCCACAGCTGGCTTAAAGAAAATAATTTAAATTCTGATTTTTTTTTTTTTTGCATATAAGACTGATGTGTGATATTGTCACGTGATTGATTATAGACGGGTTTGGATTGGTAATCTGATTTATTGAACACTCACAGAATGTAACTACAAGTAACTGTAGCCCCACTGCTAATTCACACACTCTGCAGTTCACCGCAACACGTGCTAAGCCTTTTCAGCGGACATTTCCCTGCCCCCGGGCTCACGTCCTTGCAGGCTGGTAGCCTTCTCACACCTACCTCCTACTCTTCTAACCGCCGTCTCAAGACTCCCTCTCGTTATATAGCCTAGGTAAGGACCGCACATAAAATACCGCTTCCATCAGCTACTCCANTTCTCACGGTGTTGTCGCTTGCAGAATTCTTATACTTTTTCTTCTACCCTGAAGATGGGGGCGATACGTTCCTCCGAAACGTCGGTTAACACCACATATACACGGTGCCAAATCCCAGAAGACTGCTTTCTTCAAGTCACAGAAAATTTAAAAAATAATCCAGATGAAAAACAAAACCCAGTTATTTTTAGAATGAAAACAAGAAAATAGTATTTAAAAAATCTCTGGTTCATAATTCCGAAAGTGGATCTGTTAAACAAAAACGATGGACTCTTTCTTCGGGATGAACGGTAAAATTGCTTACGTGTTTGAGAATATCTCTCTTCTAGGCCCAGTAAGAATAACAAGAGGGAACTTACGTCATGGGGAAACAGAATCAAGTTTCTCACCCACTTTTCGTTTTTATTCCAGGCATCAAATACTGAATTTGAAAATTTTCGACCCGAGAATTTTAATGTAGATATTCTGATCTCACTTTCATTTCGATGAAAAGGCCTGTTGTTTTGTAGTTTGTATATATACGTATGTTATTTGAATACGTATAATTAATATAAAATTTTCAGGATAAATCGAAGTGCCAGCGTTACATTACAGTTGTGCAATTTTCTCTTTAAAATGGGTTTCAATTTGATTTAGTATAACTTTACTCTTGCAGTAATGCCTACACCTCCAGAATGCTTAATTTTTTTCTCACAGTTTGAATTCGTGAATCTAACAGTAGCCTGTAGGCTTATTACCGTTTGATAGGGTGGGCTTTGACTGGAGGGTGTTTGATGGGGCAAGCCATGCATCAGCCCCCCCCCCTCAAAGAAAGTATTGAGAGAATCAGAATTTGAAAAGCTGAAAATATTAAAACAATTAATGGATTATAATAACTGCAGTTATTTAAAAAATTATTATTCCCCTCTTCCGAATACACAGCCGGAGCCGTAAAAAAACACCTGAAGAGAAATTTTGCTAGAAATATTTTCCGGGTGTCCCCCCCTTCCCCACCTTTATGCTCCAGCAAAGCTGCGCCCAGGCTTGACAGTGGCAACTGATTCAACATGCAGTAACGGATAGGCCTATTATTGTAAATTAGTCTCAGATGGATTGGAGGCCTACAAATTGTGCCTAAAATACTTCTACCTGCGTAAGCACTACAACACTGGGAACGGTGAGAGTATTGGAGGTTATGTGCGAT